CTGGGGAGCTGGAAGATGAGAACTGGCGACTTTCTAGTACAACTTTATTACGCGGAGTATCTGGCGAGCTGGGAGATGAGAACTGGCGACTTTGTAGTACAACTTTAGTACGCGGAGCAAGCTGTGGAGCTGGAAGCTGAGTCCTGGTGAGTCATCTCTCGCGGCTGCTCTGGCGCCCCTGCAGCTGAGTCATGTCTCCCGACCACCCGGCTCTTGAGAGGTTGACAAATTTTAGCTACTTTGCTTACTCATAAGTGGCTGCCACAAAAGAGTCATCGTGACCTTAGTATGTGTGTACTTCACCTTCATGACAAACGGTGTTCGCTTGGAATACACGAGTCGCTTGTCATGATCGCGACGTCGTTTACTCTCAGGTCGCCCTGTTCGTGGAAACTTCAGTGTGAAATGTACGTTCTTCAGTTCTATTTGAACCTCTTCAGCGTTGTACTTGCACAACTAAGGTTGACGTTGCGCTGCCGTTGCATCGACGCATCTACGTCTACACCCCCTCACCTCTCTACATTTACATCTTCACACGCTCACATCCGCAGATCTACCTCTCCACCTCACCACACCCACACATCTGCGCATCTATATAATATATCACATCTGTGCATCCACACTGTCGCTCCTTCACATCTGTCCTGTCTTTCTTTCTTTCTTTCTACATATCTTTTCTTTCGTCTCTGTGCATTTACATCTTCGCACGTTCACATCCACAGATCTACCTCTCCACCTCCATACATCTACAGATCTATACTGTTACGACAAACATCCTGCTCAATTGCCTTAGCTGCCTTAGCTAACCTCAAGAATGTTTGGGGAAAGACATCTTTCAAAAGGAAATGAGATCAGCGCAAAAGCGGAGAACAAGGGGGCCACTGCCTAAAATGGGCGTCACATGTCCGTGTGGTTTGCGCGCTCAAATGGATTAGGTCATGCCGTTTGGCCTTCATGAAGCCGAGGGCCTTTTCAGGGGCAGCAGTCCCACTGGGTTCGGGGCCGTGTTGCAGACGTCAATCGAAATGGTATTGGAAACAGAGGTCGGTCGCAACGGCAATTCAGTTTGCTTGCCGGTATGGGCCATAAACCTGTAGCACGGAGTCGAGCAGGCAAAATGGCTCAGAACAATGGTAGGCATCTGGCTCAAAGCCAAGAGCAAAGTTAAACTTAAACATTGATAACCCAATTGAGTGCGTGTGCAGGGTCGTCCCTTTGGCTGACTGCATTGGTTTCAGGTACGCCCGGGCGGTTAGAAACTCGACACAACGCCACATGTGGGGCATCTACGTTTTGACCTCTTGTATGTATATATAATCATCCTCGAGTAGATAGAATACGGAATTGAGCCGCCAACGTACCTTCCGTCATTTCAATTTCATATTCTAAGTACCTCGTTTTGACCCCCAAAAAAAAGTACATAGAATATCTCCGAGCGGATCAAACGAGTACTTGGAATATCGTGGAATGGTCTGTGGAAGATAGGGGACATAGGGGAGAAGATGGGAGAAGGAAAAGGGACATAGGATGCGAGCTCGCGCGCGCGCGGGTGTTTCGATTCGAGGCACGCGGGTGTTTTGATATAACCATCCTGAAGATGCTTTTGGGACCCCGATATTCCATGTATTATTACTTTTTTTTAGTGCCGCGGGATTGAGTTGTACCAAAATTCTATGTACTTCAGAGGATGGTTATATATACATATATATGTATGTAATACATATGTATGTAAATATACAAATATATATTATATATATATATATATATATGTACGAGGGACCTCCATGGATAATGCGACGCACTAATGTTTCTAATTTTTACACTACGACGTAAAATAGCAGATAAGACAGGGGCCTCTTAAGCTCGCTTAAAGCTCGCCCAAAACTCGTTTTCAAGCTCGCTTAAAACTCGCTTGTGCTGTGCTGATGTCCAATGGAAGCTCAAGAGTCAACAGGAAAGTCCAAAGCAAATTCAACTGATCGCAAAAAAGTTCAAGCAAAACTCAGGGAAAGTCCAATTAAAGCTCGCGCAAAAGTAGTTTCCCGTGGCGTGAGCGTCGTGGTGAGTTCGGCGCTAGTTTATTTCGAGCTAAGCTTGCAGAAAGCTCGTGAAAAGCTCGTGCGCATTCAGTTTTTGAGCTTCGATTTGAGCTTTTGTCTAGTTTTTCTTCTACCAAAGCTCGTCAAAAGCTCGCGCAAAGATCGCCCAAAACTCGCTGAGCGGGCGCTTCCCTGGTTTCCCTAGCTCCTTGAGTTTCGCTTGAGCTTTCCTTTGAACCTGTGAGTTTTGCTTGGACTTTGCCTTGAACTTTTGAGTTTTGCTTGGACTTGCCTGGTGAAAGGTGAGTTTTGGTTGGACTTTTGAAGTGAGTTTGGACTTGTTTAATTTCTATTTTTCTTGCTAATCTTACAGTGGGCTATTCATGCGAAATGCCTATGCATCTAGGTGTGCGCACAAGCACCGAACTTTTGAACAAACTCGTACAAATGAACGTGTGAACAGTACAAGTCATTGTACAAGACATGAGTGCAATCACCACAGACAATCGACACAGTTGGCGTTTCGTTTACTCGAGTTCACGCACTCCTTTTTCAAACAACATCGGGGATTCACGAGGCCGTCCTCTTTCCCCCTTCACAAAAACACGAGCTTAGCCGAAGCCAAAGGACTTATGCCGTCACAGACAGCGGCGTCTGGTGATCTGACATCTCCATCGAGATGAGTCACTTCTCCTCTGAATGGCGCATCCGCCGAGTTGGCGCGAGTTGGCACTTTTGCGACCGAAACCATGAGGCTCATGCTCTCTCCCAAACGAAGGATGGCTTCGAGGACAATCTGACTTTGATCGCTCTTCGTGCGCTCAACAATGAATCGTGGTCACCATTGTTGCCCACCAAAAAGAGGACTGGCTTCCTACATAAATGGCCACGCCAGCGTTCAATTGCCAGAGAAAAAATTTCTTTTTTGAGAAACCCACGCACAAAGATCAAGGTACTGGCCCCAGTGTCGGCGAAGTCGGCTGACATCAAAGATGGTATCTGTCAAGAAAACCAAGCCATCAGCTCAGCGTGTTCGCTGAAAGTGCTCCTCCGACTCCCGCCTTTGGGGGTTTCGGAACTCCCGGGGGCTCACAGAAGGCAGTTGTGAGGAAGAACAGTGGGCACACCGCGCACTGAGCGATCAATCTGTCTCTTGTCCTTGCAGCTTTTTCTGGTACCGCCAGGGGGCGAGGGACATTGAGAATGACAATTCCGAGACAAACTCGGGGCTTTCAAAGCCAACACGCCAGTGCTACCAAAGAAAACATGGACCGCCTCGTTCGCCAACGACGCTGTGAGATCGTCAATCGGCCTGACTTTGGGGCCACTGCAATCGTTAGTCCCCTGGACAACACCGAACATACGAGTCAATGTGCAGTCCTGCAGTAAATCGACGGCTGGAGGAGAAAACGGCCTGACGAGCCACCCTTTCTCAGCCTAGTCGACGGTCTTGAACCAAGCCCTCACATCAATCGTAGAATCGCCTGAGGACTTCATGTTTTGCAGGGTAGACTTCAACTGGGCGTGTACCAAAGCCGTGAGGCCATGACGGACAGCAGTGCAGGAGCATAGGCTCGAGGGGAGGCATCACACGCCGGCGCTCAGCTTACACTGTCAAACTGTTAAAGAACCGCGATGGGAGGTCTGCGTCGACCTATCCAACGTCCAGGAGCGTGCGGCGCTACAATGACAAGCTTTTCCCATGGATTATGTCTTTGACATCAGGGTGGCACTTCACAGCAAACCATGCTCTTCTTTCTGAAGGTCCAGTGGGTCTTTGGTCCACTTGCAGAACCACTCAATTCTGCCACCCATGACGTCCTGCTAAACATTGTCGAAGTGGCCGTTGATCATATCACAAATCTCTTTGGGC